TTTTAACAAGTTAAAAATAAAACTTGTGTTTGTTAGCGATGCGAGTTAGCGTGAATTTGTTTCACAAAAAATCTCAATAAAATCTTAGATTTGTTATCATCTTAAAATTTCTCAAAACGGTAACTCATTAAGAATGTAGAGTAGCACGTAGCACTAGAAATAATCAACATCAAACGTAATTTTTCCTCCCAAATGCATATACACAAAGAGATTTAAAAAAAGGTTCTAAAAACTCTTACTAGATGTCACTAGTAGCGCAGAATGTAGAAAAATCCAATACAAAGATCTTTAACAAAAAAAACACAAGAGAATTTCGTCAACTCGATAACTTGACCCGTAGCCCAGTTGGCAACAGCAATACTACGGTGCAGTATTCATACACAGGGTTCAAGTCCTATAGGGTTGAAGAACATTTTTCTATGTGTTCGATCTTTGTATTAATAATTATGATAAAAATCTAAGGTTGTTATTTTTGCTGCTATCAAAATGTGTACATAATTAATGATTTTCATAATTTTTAGATTTCCCTATTGTTTGGGTTTTCAAATGATAGTTTTTTATTGCAATTAAATGAAAACTACGCTAGTGAAATCAGTTAAAATTATAGCTTAATATTGAGTACCTAACCATAAATAGAGACGAAATTTAATTTGTTTGCAAACTATTCTGCCAAATCATTACTGTGACAACTGCACTCCGATTAGCCAGCCCGAATTCGAAACAATTGACGGGTGTCGTCAATTGTTTCATTTCAAGTCGACCAGTTTAACTTGAGCTATGCTATAATGGACGAAAATTGAAAATTATATATTTAGTATTGAATTATCGATGAAATGTGATTCCGTTTATTTTGTAATTAGATCTTTTGCTGTTTTTCCCACACCACCGAATGGAACAGCCCTCATTGTTAGAGATATTATCTTTATTACAAGAAATACGGATTATTTTTGGAATATACGGAGACGTACACACAGGTCAGTTGTTGGCGCTGTACGATTTCAGTTTTCTAATTTGTGATTTCAGCGCAAACGCGAGTCGATATTTAAAAGTGATATAAGACCCAATTGCCTGATGAGTTGCCAGGGATAGACGGCCCTTATTTCGTCTCCATTTCTGGTTATGCACTCGATGTAGCTTAAAAACCATACAAATCAGTATTGTACGGGCATTACGCAAACTTACTGATCGCTCCTTGTCCGTGACATAACGGACCGAATCACTAACCAACGGGTACAAAATGAAACTGAATTGCACATACATGTTCATTCTTAGCTTCTAATCTTCTTGTATCAGATTATCCCGCCTTAATTGCAGGACATTAGATCTTAGCTTGCCTTAGCTTGCATTTATGACTTTATTAACTCCTCACTTGGAGAACTCAGACTCGAAGAAAATACTCGGACTTAACTTATTACTTAAAAATGACATTCTCACTTTCCAACAAACACAACTTTACTCAAGGTCTGGCAATTTGCTCTTTAATATATTTTATACTGTAGACTTGGATTTGCCTTAAAATTAAATCATTCAAGAAAAATTTTACTCTAGATCTGGCAGTATGGTTAAGACGTCTTAGCCTGTCACGAATAAATTTACTACTCAAAGCTTCTTTGATAACTGTCAATGCTATGTCAAATTCTTAGACGATGGAAAAAAACAAAGGAAGTCACATTTCACATCTAGATGGTTTTTCCGTGTCACGTAGATAACAAATGTATTTGACTACAAATTTTTTGAAAAAAAAAAGAAAGAAGACTATTCAAGCCAGTTTTATAAAACGTTACAAGGAAATTGAAAGTTACCCAATTTGATGGTATAAATATTTAATTAAATAACTTTTCAGCTATTTTTAACTTATGTAAATATTTTTTACTTTCTATTGTAAGTTGAAAAACCTTAAAATATTGTGATAGCATAGACGTAGTTAATTTATTTGTAATAAACATGTAATAAAATAAATATTAGTTAACCACGCCTTTCGCTCTTGTCAATCATCATATGATTTCGATGTTGCCAGTACTAGAGATATTTATTTTTTAACAGAACATTATAATTTTGAGTTATTTTTCTTAGCATTAGGGATGGAAGTATGTTATCGATAAATGTACGGTCTCCTTCATCAATCTGTTTGAAGCATTTGCTGTTTAGATATGAACTAATTACTCCTAAGCTGCTGATTTAACTGTGAATGAAAACGGCGTGAGGAAACCTGCTGAAACTGTAAATTCAACCTTTTGGTTAAAGTGTTTAAGCTGCATTAGCCTAATGTGGTGAACTTTCACCTAAACCATCTCAATGGATTCGTGCTACGGGTACAAATAGACAAAGAACAAAAGGCGAGGTTTGATTTGTAATATGTCACTTAATGGACCTAAAACTTAAAATAATATTATTTTCTTTAATTTTAGCGTAATAGGTACGTATGTTCTTTCAGTCTACATCAAATGTCATCACAGTTACGCTGAAGTAAAATGTTCTGCCCGAACTGTGGGGTATTCTTTTAGATATACCAACCAACCTAATTCTATGATCACCATATTCATTCAATGACGTTATAGTATTTTGTTGTTGTGGGTAATATAAAATGAAACAATGAAGGTATTATATGTTGCTTTAAAAAGACGCCTAACAGTTTTTAGTCGATAATTTTATCGATAATATTTTTGATACCCCTTAATACGATTCACTTCTAAAATGTAATCAATACAAAAAAATTCACGCTAGGAAAGCAATCACAGTCAAAGACTCCAATTAACTAACGTACGAAAGAAATTTAAAATGTCGTCGTCAACAACCTCGCTGCCCTGGACAACACCCACATACTCGACCACGGAATAACAAACTAATGGACGTGTGAAACGGGCATTCTTTTGTAGCCATATTTATGATCTATGAGTCACGACTGGCCTTAGTTGGGCGTCAACTCTCGCATACATGGTCGGTCATTTACAGTGGTGCAAATTATAATAACAACGCAACACACTCATAGTCCCGCACTACGGAAACCCTGTGTCGCTGGTGCCATGGACACACACATAGTCAACCACAAATGACACCCAAACTCGCGAGAGAAATAAATGTAGGCCATACACATACTTCTCCCGGCTTGGGAATCGAACCCAGGCCCTCTGCGTGGCAGTCCGGCATGGTAACCGTTCGGCGACGGAGGCAGTTATGGACTAAATGTTTTTTTAAAATGGATTGTTACAATGTCCTTTGTTTTTATAATAGTATTTTTAAATTCTATTTAGACATAAAATTTTAAACGAAATTTTCTTTTATAAATGTCATCAGCGCCCGAAATCCGCTCGCACTTCGTCATTTCACAGAAACACACAAGTTTTACATTTAACTTCTTTGATGTATGATTATTTATTGGCATCTTGTCATTAGGGTCATTAGGGTTTGGCAGCTGGATCTCGGCCGGGGTGGCCGGAAGATGGTGGATGAGACTCGCACAGGACCGATTGAGCTGGCGTACAAAAGAGGAGGCCTGTACCCAACAGTGGGTGTTAACAGGCTGAGATGATGATGATGATCCTGTCATTATTAAGTCGTTTCTCAACCTAATATACATGAAATGTACTGAAGTAGATATTTTGAATTGCGATCTGCGACCTTATGATAAATAAGGTTAAAGGTTAATGTTGTCAACTGGAAAAAATTTCAATTACAAAATTTTCGCGCGCAATTGTGCAGAACTGTGAAAAAAGAAAAATAAATACGAGTGCTGCTACGCTTCGATAGGGAATCGACAGTCCGCCAAGTTATACAGTCAGCTAAAATCGTCTTATTTATAATTCAATCAATCTCTGTCAACTCACACTGGCGCAGAGTCGAAGCGTCGCGACGCGTCATGTTTTTCGCCTATAGTATATTCATCTCTATTTTCCCACTATTAAGGTGTACATTTGTGTTACTTGGTATTTGGTGTAACGGGCTGGTGTACATTTGTGTTATGCAAATATGGAGTTAAACGTCGACGCGTGTCGACGCGCTTCGCCGCGCGTTACTTGAGCGCAGTGAGGCGTCAGACGCCGACCACACTGTGATCCGGGCGCACTAATGCGAGAGTCGACGCGTGACGACGCGGGTCGCCAAGCGTTGTAGTTGAAAAACAGCACGCGACGCGACGCTTCGACTCTGCGCCAGTGTGAGTTGGGCCTTATATTTCTGTTAGAGATAGACAAATGTGAAGTTTTTTAAATTTTGCAGAGTGAATCTTCACGTCTCCCAGACCCGTTCTCTAAAATATTTTTTTCCATCCTCTAAGCTAAAACGGGATGTCAATTATGAGGATGGAAAAACTTATTAGAGGATGGAAAAAAAATAAAAGAAATAATAATAATAGTTTCCATAGTCTAAGTGGAAAAAAAAGGATGTGACACTGATTGTTATGTTTTTCATTGTTTTCGTAAAGGAAAAGGCATGGGTTTAAAACGATATAGCCAAGTTTTGGTCATAGAAACTAGCGTAGCGTAATCCTAGGTGTGTGGTCTATACATTATCGTTGTTTTTTTTTGGTATTGGTTTTTCGCGTTTCATCAACTTACAAGCTTTTTGACTTTTCTTTTTAAAACGGGGAAACTTATGATATAAATAGGAAATTTGGAAACGGATGATATTATATGTATACTTAAAACAAGGGCAACGGGCAATGATCTTATACTATACACTAAGATCATTGGCAACGTGATTGTCGAAAGAAGTGTTCTGTTTGTTTTCGGTTGAGTCGTTAGAGGATGGAATAAAACCCAAGGAAATAGTCAAACTATGAGTCAAAGTAAGACTTGGTGTATGCCTATTTTTTTGTGAAAAGAACAAAAAAAATTACCAAGACCTGGCTGTATGGTGTCAAACTTTTGCCTTTTCCTTTACGGGAAGAATGGAAAAAAAACAACTTAAAACTATTTTTTGGCATTTAGAAAAATGTTAAGTTGGATTTTCAATATTTAATCATTTGTAGTATTAAATTTTTCATCACCATTAACAAATATGCGTGGCGAAAAACAATCAGAGGATGGTAATAGTGACACGACTAACAAAAACAATCCAGCTTTGGATTTTCCAGTTGAAAAATGGCTACTACCTATTATTGGATTTGTAAGAATACCGGATAGTTTTATGTATTAATTTTGATCTTGTGACACTTATGTACTCATATTTTCCTACTTTATAAAATACGCCCTGTGTTTAGACTCTAAGTGTACTGTATGATTATGTGTTACTATAGTTTGCATTTATAAGATTTTCTTTCATATTAGAACAGACGTCGTAATATAGAAATATACGTTAATTTAAAAGTAGAGAATCCAAGAGATCTATTATTTAATAAAATAATTATATTGTTTTTCTAGTTACTCGGATTTTTAGCCACACTATGTATATAGGTACCAAACGAGGGAGTTAATTAGTATGAGGAGTGCAATTTTGACCTTTACTTTGGCTACGTTCGTTGCTATTTCAATAATTTTCACCATCGTCTCGGTGCTTCTACTTTTTGCGTCTATAGAAGTAAGAACTTGTAACTAATACATTTGTAAAATATTTTGTGGAAAATGTACGGTCAGTAAGAGATTAGAGTATTTGAACTGGATTAAACAATCAATACAGGTTTTTTTTTTATTTGTGGAATTGGAGAGTAAACTACTGACTGTACATTAAGCTGGTTTATTTTTTATACCATATTTAAAAATCGTAAAAAGATAGTTGTTGTGACTCATTTCATTAGTGCGACGGCTTTGTCCTTCTGCACTTTCTACACTAAAGCGTGACACACAGGGGGACGGGTGCTGGACGGGCGCGTGTCGGGTCGGGTGCACGGCGGGTGTAATTAACGGAATTACACCCGCCATGCTCCCGACCGGACCTGACACGCGCCCGAGCCGCACCCGCTGTCAGTGTGTTTCACGCTTTAGACTTGGCTTGGGATGATTTTTTATTATTATTGATACAAAGACAGAACAAACAAATGAATAATTACTTCTAACTGAGGTAACGGATCGAGCGAGTTAGTAGAGCGATATCCCCGTTGACGCAAAAGACGCAGGCATCCAGTGAGATCGAATAATTTTTGTTTGTGTTTGTATCAATAATTGAGCAATTTTCATGTTCGTTTTCACATCCTAATTTCGGTGGCAATTTTTATTATTTGAAGATTCTAGAATATTATCCCGAAGTATTACTTAATATTCGAGTGTAAATAACCTGAATTATTTAATATTTCACGATAGTATACTCGATACTTAAATAATAAAAATTGCCACCGAAATTAAGTAAGGAACATTAGTCCAAAAATTACTCAATAATAACAAACAATCATGGTGGTAAAAATGTAATATTACAAATAATATACGGGGTTTTTTATTACTAGACGGATGGTAACTAAAATATTGAAAATAGCAATTTCACCTAATGGCGGCTTTATTAACCTCTGACGCAAAAAGAAAGGACTAATAAGCCTTTGTTTATGTATCTGTCTGTATTCTCCCAAATAGTTCGACTAATCTGAAGGCGGTTTATGTTTATTTGTACGCTAATTTAATCGGGGTTGATCTTAGATGTGTTTGACATCAATTCTGTTGTTTAAAGATCATCAGCTTTTTTCAAAGAAAGTGTGGGGTTCAAAGGCCTGGGTCTGCTCCCTGCAAGCCATCCGCCGAGACGTCCCAGTATTATGCGCTTGCGTATCCTGGGGCACCTCTCCATGGCAGTGGAGTTAACTTTTGGATTATAGTGGGTATACGGGACTACGGCTCAGGAGTCTCACATAATCGATCGTTGCTCCCCTGAGGCGAGTGGTATGTGTAACACATGTCCCAGCGAAAAAACTATTATTCCCACTTGTTCCGTTGTACAGTTTTGTTGACCGGACATGGGACTTGTTAACTTATGTCTCAGAATGATAGGCGCAGTGGTAGTGCCTCTCCGATCTTTGTGTTTTAAAGCTCACGAGTTGTTCGCCCTGTCACTTGGTATTGTAAAAAAAGATTATGGAATAGAAATAAAATTCTGAACAATTCTGAATTTGAGTCACTCTTGACCAAACGACGATAAACATGAGAACAAACACGTCCACTATTTGATGTCATATGGTTAAAAACCGAGTGCTTCAATTCTATAGCGAATGGCGCGTGTGAAGACCCGCCCTATTCAACATGAGTGCATCGCGAGATTATGCAATGTTTGCGCCCGTACACAGTGCGCATCGGGCGTAAACATACAAGCCGTGCTGCTACGTTTGCACGGAGTTACCCTACATGTTTTATTATACTATGGATGTACACTATTTCAGCCCGTTTCCGTCGAGCCCGGAGAAGATGCTTCAACCAACATTTTTAAATAAGAAATTACAAACAAATATTTTATTTATTACAGAAAGACTCTCCTCAAGTGTCGCGGTACTTGTGGTTAACTATTGTACACTTGTGCTTGCAAAATGTTTTAGCGATTGTAGTACCTATCCTTTTGATATTCGAAAAGAACGCTCCTACAGAAGCAAGTTTGAATTGGATGGTCGTCGTCATGATAGTTGGCCTTGGTAATTATTCAAACATTAAATGGATTCCTCATTTTTACAACAATTCTCTAATTATTATTTTAATATAAATTTTAGAAATGTACTTGAGTTCAATGAAAACCTATTTTTAATTAAGAATAAGAACAAGCTGACGTTAATTACTAAAGTTTAATTCCTAAAACTCTAACTCTAACTCTAATACTCAATGGAAACTATATAAGGCTTTTCTATTGAAAGTCATAATTTAAATCCTGAAGTTTTATTTAATCCGTTTGGAATGGTTATTTATTTTAATTAATTTGTTTTAACAATTTGCGGTTTTTGCCTGAGAGAAGCTGATAGGGGTGAATTGGATTTTAGATGAAATGGTGGAGCTTGTAGCTGTATAATAATTAAAAATTGTTGATTTCTGTTGAGATCTAAAGAGAGATTTAAAGTACTTTAGCTCCATGTGTTAGCCATGAGACACCATGTAAGACCGTTTCAAAATGTCAAATTTTTGCACTATTGATGCTCGTTTACATTTCATGACATTGTGTTCTCATATTCATATGAATTAATGTATATTTGTTTTGTTTCATTTCAGGTTGGACACATTTAACCATAAGGTTCAGAACATTTACAAATGCTTTCATTTTTACCAGATATTAAGATCGATGTCTTCAAATTTGTTATTTATTCAAAAATATCTTACAACTTTTCAGTGAGTTCGATTTCCAAGATTTAGTGAAAATTGAAAAATTGTTCAATAAAGCAACATTGTTCAATTATTAACAGAATATTGTTTAAATTTGCGATATCTTAAATTTATTGACATGGAAAAAGTTAACACGTTATTTAGAATTTAATAATTAGCAAATTTCTTCTTTTCGGTCACTAGATGATCAAATTATGTTTATAAATTAATAAAATAAATATAAATAAAATAATTTTGTTTAATTTCTCACATATTCCCGAAATCATGTCATGACAGCAGTTGTATGCTGGATGACTTCTTCAGCACTATTAACGCAGTGTTACGCGTATCATTCAGCTAGAAAAGCGGAGTTCATTCTAACTCATCAATTCTTAATAAAGATAATATAAAAGAGATGTATGCTGCATGACTTCTTCAGCACACTAGCACAGTGTTACGCGTAGCATTCAGCTAGAAAAACGGAGTTCACACTACCTAATCAATTCTCAATGAAGATAATACAAAAGACATTTGTATGCTGCATGACTTCTTCAGTACCATTAACCCAGTGTTACGCGTATTATTCAGCTAGAAAAACGGAGTTCACACTAACTCATCAATTGTCAATGAAGATAATACAAAAAAGATCTATTTTGCTGGACTCGTCAGCACTACCAACACAGTGTTACCCGTAGCATTCAGCTAAAAAAAAATTTTACTCTCAATGAAAATAATATAAACGATATTAATTCTGCCAAGAAAGCGTAGGATGCGACTAATAGGTTAAAGATTGAATAATAGAGTTTGCCCGAAGAGCTTATATACTATTTCCAGCCAAATGTCTGTATAAATCTGTGCAAAGTGAAAAAAGGGCCCTTTACAGGTTATCAGGTTCTTTTTTGGGTTTACAAGATTTTGTATGAGTAAGGTCTTGTGGCCAACAAAAGAATTGATGATGAGGGTAACATCGCGGTTCTGTAATTTTGACTCCGTTTCAATAGGATGTCGACGTAGGTCTGATTTTATCTTTTTGTTACTGAAATGTTGAGTTTAATATTTTGAAGATAATTTTAATTTTGCGCAGGAATTTTCTGTTTACAATTCTTATCTATCTGGTACTGGGCGCAATTTCAGAAAAGTTGAAATCAAACAACATTTTTCAAGTACGAAGTAAGTCAATTTAAAGTTTGCTCTCGGTCCACAGCCACAGTACATAATAATAACAGTAATTTATATAACGATGTTCTACGTAGTTTTTTTAGTAGACTGCCTCCATGGCCGAACGGTTACCATGCTGGGCTGCCATGCAGAGGTCTTGGGTTCGATTCCCGGGCCGGGAGAAATATTTGCATGGTCTACATTTATTTATCTCGTGAGTTTAGGCGTTATATGTGGTTATCTATGTATATGCATGGACATAGGACACCAGCGACATAGGGTTCTTAGTGCGGGACTATAAGGGTGTGTGTGTGTGTGTACATAGATGTAAACTATTGAAATCACTGTTATTTATTAATAATATAATTTAATAAGCTAATTTTCTTGGTTTTCTCGATTGGATAAAGTAAACTATAACTTAAAGTCCTTCGTAACGGGGTCAGCGCGCCCTCGACCTGGGAGGTAGTTACCTAAGTATGGACGATTAACCCTTTTCACTTTAATGTTACAGACGTAGTTACACCAACTCTATACAGCATACTAAACAAGTAATGAATCAGTGCTTTTTCAAACCATTCGTAACTTCTTTGTAGAGCAGCCCTCGTAGTTAAGATAACAAGGTAAAAGTCCCATTAAGCCGATAAGACAAGGTCTGTAGGTGATAGCATTCTATTTGGGAAGCCTGTATTCCGCAGTGGTGTTCGAGCTAGTTTTAATGAAGTTCTTGGATACTCGTGCGTGCTTTGTTAAGAGAATCCGAAGGTCAACAAAGCAATCATGCACGAAATTACGCTGATTATTAAACAAATTGGGTTACAGTGAATATCAGATTTTGTAAATTATTGTTTAAATGACTTCCGCCCACGAATTTCACTATCCATAAAACCATTACTATATTGGCAGCTTGGAAAAAAAAGAAGTAATAAAAGAATAAAAAATATTATTTCGTGTTTTCGTTATAATACTGTTAAGTTAAATTGGATTTTTGCCACGAATATTATGTAGATATATTCAAAATATAAAGAGCTTTTCTTAAAAACCAAAAGCCGTATCAACGTGTGTCTACCCAATGTGTTCCTGGAAATCTTGTTGGAACAGGCTAGCTGTTTTATTTCATTTTATTTGGGATAACAATAGCCATTAATACAATTTTAACCTTTACATGCTTTTAGAAATTTTTGGTTAGGCTTACTATAGTTATACCCAACGATATGTAGGTATGTACTGTTATTATACTCTAATGCTCTGGCCACACAGAGGCGGCCGCGGATGCGTTCCGGGCGCGGGGATTCTTGTAATGTACGAGTTTATATTAACCACTGAAGAAAAAAACAATGAAAATGCCATAAACCTCGATTACTATCGGAACAGAAAAACACACCAAACCAAAACTCACACATGCTCAAACCAAAACTCATACATTCTTAATTTGAAACACTACAAAATCTTGATAATGATTGGTCGTAGTTTCAAATTTAAAAAGAAATAACAAGTTCTGGGTTTTAAATATAATTTAAACTTTAACCTTTAAGTCATCATCACCTATTATTGCTAGTTACGACGTTTTGGTATTAAATTGAAATTTCAATCAATGTCTTGCCATTTAGCTGTTAATTGCAGAATCACGGCGAATTGGAGTTATTAATTTAGTTCTCCAAAACAAGAAGTGACCATATTGCAAGGGTGTAAGCTTTGTTTTCGTTTCTTGTAACGAAAAAATTATTTCGATAAAAAAAAAATTCAAAATTTATTGTGCCGCTATCATTTTTGCACTCCAAAACAGCACAATAAATCATTTTTCTATGATTTTATAGAATTTACACGAAATAATTGTCACAACCATACCGTACGAAGAGAAAATGGCGGACTGAGCACGCGTGTGAGGCTAACTAACCACTTCTACTGTATTTTCTGTTCTGTGATATTAACCCACCCACACTGAAACACGCGGCTGACGCGCGTCCGCCACATAACAAAAATTCCTGCGCCAGGAACGCTTCGCGGCCGTCTCTGTGTGGCATGAACGTAAAAGGTTATTTACAGTGCACGTATCTGTTAATATATAAATAATAATAACAAAAATAATTCAATAATCCTGCATCTGGTAAAAAATTGAGGAAGAAAGTGAAAAGAAAGTAATTTATAACGAAATGAATAAATATACAATTATATATTACATATATAAAATGGTGTAACAAGCCCCACATACCTACTACCACTTTGTGAAATGTGATATAATGTCAAAGTCAAAGTCAAAGTCAAAGATCATTTATTCCATAGGTAAAATAAATTTACACTTGAAATATAATCGAAATGATATCCAAAGTATCATTGACTGAAGCTGAAGCCCGCAAGGAATCCGCTTACCAAACGTGGGTACAAGCTCGCGGACGCAACATTCGAGCACGGAGGGTTCGCGCGACAAACAGAGCTTTTGACTGTACCGCCAAGTTTTGCAAACGATTCGGCCTATCAGCAAAATTGGGGCCAGACTTGCGTCCTACCCTCCTGGTACGAAGCAGTTCTGGTCCCTATCCAAAGCAGTTGAATCCATTTTCTGCCGTCCTACCTTGCCTCTCATGCAAAAACCTGACGGAACACTGGCTCACTCCACAACAGAAAAAGCAAATCTGTTTGCTTCAATATTTGCGAGCAATTTACGTCTAGACGCAAGCTCGAAACAACCACCAACTTTACCTCGATGTGATATTTCAATGCCTGATCCATGCAAAAGAGGTTCGTAGAGCGCTGCTAGACGTCTGCTACGCTAACGACGCTGCTAGCTAAATCTAGACGTTAACAATGCTAGTGGACCAGATGGTATACCGGCACGAGTACTGAGGTTTTGGGTGCCTGGGCTGACTCCTGTGCTGACGCGTCTGTACCGCCTCTCTCTCAAAACGAGAATCGTTCCAGGATCGTGGAAACTTGAAAATGTGCAACCAGTCTCCAAAAAGGGCAGCCGTGCCGACCCCTGCAATTATCGACCTATCGCTATTACTTCCATACTCTGTAAGGTTATGGAAAAAGTTCTGAATAACAAGCTGCTATCATACCTTGAAACAAACGACCTACTCAGTGATCGTCAATATGGCTTTCGCTGGGGACGATCAGCTGGGGATCTTCTCGTGTATGTTACGCACCGCTGGGGCGAAACCATAGAGAAACACGGCGAGACTCTGGCTGTGTCACTAGATATCTCGAAGGCCTTTGACAGAGTTTGGCACGCAAGTCTGCTGAGCAAGCTTCCCGCTTACGGCATCCCTGCTGAGTTTTGTAGCTATCATAGGATATCAGATTTCCTCGATGAACGGTCAATCTGATTTGATAGCTATCAATGTTCCTCTGGGGTCGGTTCTCTCTGCGAATCTTCTCCTGCTGCACATCTGCAGGATTAATGACCTGTAGTAACAGGGAGTACCCAGGTAATGTTGGGTATGCAGATGACAGCACTGTTACGGAGAGATATCTGTCCTGCGCAAAGGATAGCAGGGTAATTATCCGTTCGTTGAGAGAGGTCATAGTCATAGAGGTGGAGCGGACGAACTTGGCCTTAAGTCTTGTCTCTCAGTGGGGAGATGACAATCTGGTCGAGTTCAACGCCACCAAAATGCAGATTTGAGCGCAGAGCCAGAAGACTTATTGGCGACGTTAAGCTCGAATGTAAAGTTCACAGTTTGGCCCACCGGCGCAAAGTTGCCCGTCTGTCGGTTTTTTACGGAATATATTTCGGTGAGTATGCCCATGAGCTCCATCAGCTCATCCCGCCTGCCCCCTTTTACCATCGAACATCCAGACGTACGGCGGGATATCATACTTACTTGGTCGATATTCCCTTCAGGCGTACTAAGTACTTTTCATAATCTTTTATTATGCGCACAGGCCAGGATTGGAATTCCCTATCTGCGTCTGTATTTCCGAATTCATACAACCCGGGTATCTTTAAGGTGCGACTGAATAGG